TCTCACAGCGTACAAGTGGGCTGTTATGGCACACGGGGATGGGGGCAGCTCGCGCTCAACTTCATCAACGTGGCGAGCCTTGTACGTGAGAGGCAAGGTGAAAGGGGAGTCAAAAGAAGAATGAATGGTTTCGCTGTGCCCTTCATGTTCGTCTGGTTTGTTTGTTTGTTTGTTTGTTTGTTTTTTTTTTTTTTTTTTTTTTTTTTTTTTTTTTTTTGTGCGGTTTGTTTCGCAAATTGCGCTCTTTTTTTTCATAGTTATGTGACAATATATAATTTTTTTTTTTTATTATTATTTTTTTGGACCCTTTCTCGATTTATGCGTGTCATACTTCTAAGCGCAGGGGCCATGCTAATCTTCTTTCTCTGTATCGTTCCAATTTTCGGGTAAGGATTTCTTATGCTTCTTTTCGGGATGTACTCTGCTTGGCAGCGAGAGACGCAAGGGAAAAAGTTCTACACGTTTGAGTTCGTATCACGTGCACCGACGTACACCCGACATGCTCTAAGCACCGTTGGGGTTCAGAACGGTAAAATCTCAATAACCGGGCAAAACCTCTTTGTATCAACTGCTGTTGTCTGATTGTAAAGCTACCTAGTTGTATCTCTGTGATCCAGAGTTTGATGAACCATGCATACATATTACATAGCATACCTGCCTGCTCCCTTTTCTGGATCTTGTTGCGTGATTCTGTGCTCAAATCCGACAGTGTGACGAAGTTTCTGAAGCTGAAAGCAGGTGATCATGTGTTTTACATGCAGTGTGTCCTGAAAAACAGGGCCACTCAATTCTTCGGGAGAGTGGCCGAGTGGTTAAAAGCAACAGACTGTATCAACATTTGAACATTCGAGAATACTTCGGTTCAATTCGACCGCCTATGGGTGCGCAAGTGTTTGGTTTTCGTCCTGGTAGATATGTTATACTGTATACAGTACTATACACCATTTTCCTGAAAGAACTCTTATTCATCCGTTGTTTTCTCAGTAGAACTTCACAAAAATCCGAAACCAAGTTAACCAACCCAAAAAACAGAAAGTTTTAGGGTTGTTGCATATTGCCTCTCTAGCTGGGGCCTAGCAGTCGTCGCACTCATCCTCAGGCTGCCTTAATCTGGCCCATCCCCACCTTGATATCCCACTGGTAATCTCCTCCTTCCTTTCTTCCCATGACAATGCCTGTGACAATGGGGAGAGAGCTCCAGCTCGTCTAGATATCTGATGGACAGCAAACTGCGTCACGGAGCTTTAGCCAAGTGCATTGAAACTGTTAGAGAGGAAAACATAGTAGTACATGACGATAATGGCAGAGAAAAGCGACGACTTGTCTTTCTCGACAGTTACAGCAGGCCAGGACAGGGAACAGGGGGTATTTAAAAAAAAAAAAAAAAAAACACCTGAAGCACAAGCTCCCATCTGCGCTCAACAGCAAATATGTTGTCATCAACGGAAGAACGGTCCACCCACCCCATCCATCAGGAACCGGCGTCTTCGCAAAGTTTGAGTGAGACTGGCAGAGAATCTCAGTAACCAATGGTTGGCAGAGAACAGTGACTCAACACCTGTCCTCCTTCGTTCTTGTTTGCACTAAAAGTCGATCAGAGAGATTCAGTTTGCTTAAGTTGAGAGGATTCCCTTTTTCTTTTCTTTTTCTTTTCTTTTTTTTTTATTTTAAATCAGGGCCTATCCCCCCTTATGAGACCTCCACCCTACCATTCCTCTCATCTATTACCCGGTGGACCCCTACTCCCCCAGTCCTACCTCAGGGCCTACCACTCAGGATCATCACCCTAAGGTAACCAACCATCTACGTGGCCATCCACTCCCGTATATCCCTGCCTGCAACCCCAGCTTCTATAGACTTAATACCATGTCTTACTGCCCCTATCACAGGCTATCAGAACCGAGCCCCAAGGCACTCGCTTACGGTCGGTCGCTAACCCTCAGAAATCCCCTGCAGTTGAACCCCCCCTTCCCCAGGCCAGTGTCCCTTAAAACAGTATACATGAAACCACGATGAGTCCCCCCTTTCGGTTACCCCATCCGTTTGGTTCATGGCATCTGGTCCCTCTTCAACCTCGCCTTCTCAGGTTGCCACATGGAAAAGCATTATCAAATCACTGAATGGAACTGATCCCCAAGCAGTGCCTTCTTGAGGGAAAAACCGCTCATGGTTTGAAATGAAGAATGAGAAAAAAGTTCAAAAAAACGTTCATTTTTCTCATTCTTCATTTCAAACCACTGTTTCTCCAGCAGTGCCTTCTTGAGGGAAAAACTCAGGGAAGGGTGTGAGTGGGCCGTTAAGGCACACATGGGGATGCAGACAGCTTGTTCTCAAGAATCTCAACTACATGAGCGTGGTGAGCCTTGCATGTGAGAGGCACAGTAAAGGGAGAGTTAAAAAGGAGAAATAAAAGAGACACCCACCGTGGAAAAAAAGCCAAAAGAAAGAAATGCACAGGAAAAGGCAAAATAATAACATATTCAAAAGAATGGTTTCAGTGTGCCTAATTCTGTCTGCTATTTT